TTCACAAACACTGTCGTGTTTGCCGCTATAAATCAACTCATTAGTTAACTATCTCCGATAGATAGAATTATATGTTACATTTAAATGACCTGCTGATAAGACGGTTTGATTTATAGATAATTAAGTGTATATAATTGATTTGGGTCTGACTTGAACAACATCATCCCTTCGGTATACGTTTGGAAGCCCATAGCTCAGACAATCTAATAAAGGTGGACAACACGTTTTTTATCTATCTGTTCAGGTACATGAATATTAAGCGCATTGTTACTAGTAGCAGAATAGTAAAATAACTGCGTAGACAAATCATTGCGATGTGTTTAAAGTGGTCTTGCGAGGTACTGGGGAAAAAGTTATATCAAAAACAACAAACAAAACTATATCTAGATTTTTAATCAGTTAAAATTTCCAAATAAGCATAAATTTAATTTTCTTGTTTCACATATTTTAGGTCGTACCTGCACTGAGGTCAGATTCTAGTTATGAAAACTAGTGTCACAACCGATTTCTAATTGATCTCATTCTTGAATTAGGGTTAAGAGTAACATTTATTCTCAAAATAAATAACATGTGTTCTACAAAAACAAGGACTGGTATCCGGAGTGACAGTTAGTATAACGATTACCATTATCACCTGTATTAAAGCAAGGTATTTTGTGACTATGAAAAAGCAACAGTAAGCAGAGAAATCTGAAATGATGGCCGAAAATATTCAACAATATTGGCGTAATCGTTCATAATTCCAATTATTTAGTTAAAACTAACTTATGATCAGGTGATTACTTTTCAGACTCGCTTTTAAAGGAACTTATGGTGCAATAAACCATTAAAAGGCTCTCTTTCAATGAAACAGTGTTTACGTTAGACAAGTTTTAAGTTGGACGTTCTCTTATTTCGTCAATTTGTTTTACATGATAGCCTTTTTAAAAGTTATATTTGGTACTGTCGATTCCTTAGACAAAACAGTTGTTATTATATTATATTTGACCAGCAAAATGTTGAAGCAGGGAAAAGTGACTTAAGAAATTCGAGAAAGGGATAATGTAATATGAAGTGAACGTAAAACAACCTAAACAGTTCTAACATGTAAGAGAAAGTATTTTTATTTTAACTCGCCACATTTCTTCAACAATACAACAGTAGTACTAAGGTTTTCCCCGCTGAGTAAAGATGTTTTCTAATGCGTGAACATATGCTATAATGCTTAGTTTTTGAGAGGTTCTCCAGTTTTAATATACCATATCTGCTAGGGGATTTCGATGAGGGGTGTATTGGAAAAACAATCTCGGTAAAAGTAGGCTAATGACCCAGTGAGCACATGGATTATACTTACATTTAATGATGAAAGCAACTTATAGAAAAAAGACAACGTGAGTTTGATATTGTGACAATCTGATAACAGGATCTAAATGTTGATAAGGTAAACTTTTGAATGAGTTACATTAATTCACCATGAAAACCCAAGTGACCTAGAGAATAAATTTCAATTCTCAATTCATGATTGACATTTCTCTAACCCGGAAAATTCGACACAGTTAAGTCACGATAACTAACCAACGAAATAAAATATGTTATTTCATCCGCATCTACGTCACTATATATTTATAGGGAATGAGTGTTTTAATTTTCAAATGAATGAATCGCATGTTTTATTAGGTGATGAAGTTGCTCGATTGAATGATGAACCTATGATATGTCATTAGTCCACAAACGAACCACCCAGCCGTTGGGTCACCGAAGGTCGAACAGTTCACTGATCATCCTCAAGGTCAAGAACAACTAACGAACATTAGTTAATCTCACTCCATGAACTGGCCTATGTGGTGGTGGTCTTGATCTCTTCCGTGTACCTACTCTTGCTAACATGTTTCTGTGCTAACGTTATACGATATTCAACTCAGCCATAGTACTTTGATAACGCAAAAGAGTAATTCACATTACATGCTGACCGCGAGATGTGACTTCAAATTCAGAAGGTTCATCACGCCATTCTTGTCCAACCCACAATCGTCTAACGAAGACCATCTGCTTTAGTGATTTACAGGATTTACCATTGATATGCTATGGCAAATTACCTGGATGACATCCAAGTTTAAATTGGAATTTCCTTGTCGTTGAAAATTTTCAGAATTCTCAAATCACTCTACCGCATCTACAAATGTAGTCCTTTGCAGGCATCCCGTAGAGCCCATGTTTTGCCAATCTTTTGCCAGATTAGGATGGTAAGAAAGACCAACGTCTACTAAAATCAGGAATGATTTTATGAAATTAATAAAATTGTACATAGGATTTACCTAGACAATTTTCGCTCGATGGAGATAAAACAAAACTGTAATTGAAATCGAATGAATGTAAAACTTTTGCACATTAAGATGCTTCGAGTACTTGAAGCTTGGCAATGCCTTTACATATTGCACCTATATAATTGAACTGCGTCAACCAAGTCCAATCAGAAGGGGTTTGAAGGTGTATTTCGAAGTCTAATGATATGTCTGGGTGCGTCTTTTCTATGTTGATTAACAGTTGCAAGGGATGCGTTGCACTACAGAAAAACGTATCTGGTACGGGTGCGTGACTGAGTGCCTCTGGCTAGGTTCGTTTACTGAAACTATTGTGAGATGGTGAATATTTGTAGCTCAGGTGTATGATTTTGATGGAGTTTTGTTCTCTGACTTGGATGGTTAGGTCGTGGAGCTTTCATCGTTATTCTAAACGACATCATCATACAAACGTTCACTCAAAATTTGTGGCGGTCACCATCAAATGTCGAAGGCTTAAAGAATTATTTATTTTAGATATTTTTTACCGCTACAGTTCATCCACCCTAGTCAGGCAGAGATAAATCCAGTTTGTGGCCAGCCAGCTAGTTAAACCCGATGAGGTTGTCGCTGGTGAACAATATTTTGATTACTTGTTGTGTTCAACAGCGTTTGGTCATTCCTTTTTATTAAATAAGGGGTCATGTGGTACATGTTAGTAGTAAAAAAACGCAGTGAAAGAACAGTACTAGCGACACGACAATATGAATCAGCAAAAATGTACAAGTATGCTTGTTAAATAACAGGGTTAAATCATCCAAGTTGCAAAGAAAATAAAGATATCGAACGCTCAGTAATCTAATGAGTTGTCTTGTTTACCGATTACAGAGAGTGGAAAAAATGTTACCAGTGCTTGGTCAAATGTTGTTGTCCATTTTTTTCTAACCACATCTAGAATGGTCAATAGTAAGAAAGAGGTGACTTCTATGTCCTTTATTTTCGGACGTTTGTTTCTATATCAAACTTGGTCAAACACCAAAACTGAGGGTTATAAATCTCGCGCGTCTGATATTTTTAAGTGTCCGTGAATTTTGACTCCGTACGTTGAGATATAGCCGCCTTTGGCGTGTGGAAAGGTCGAGAAATCTGTGTATTGGATGTCTTTTTTCCGTTCTTATCAGTTCTCTGATTTTAATGCACTTGTGAAAAGACAATAACACAGATTAGCCGAATAGGACATAACATGCACCGATGGTGGTACATAGTATATTAGTTAATCAGATGTACTGAGAAATCTGGGTCTTCCTCACAACAATCAACAATAGTTTTATACATGTAAGTCGATCAGAGTCCTCTTCGCTTACCATCACTGAACCTCAAACATATGCAAATGTCACTCTTTTTAAGTGAATCGGAAAAACTTCTAACGCCCATATAAGGCCAGTCCATAGATTATACACTCATATGACGACCTATATATAAAATGTAAACGCAAATATAAGTCGACACTGCAGAATGAAACAATTCTAGTTTCAATGTATCTAATATCTTTTAGGCTGAATAAAAACAAAGAAAAAGTTTATTAGAAGGAAAAGACATTTCTGTGAAGGCCTAGGTCGATGAACGTGAGATTTTTGAACCATTTATCCAATATATGAAAAGTGCTTCTCATTCAGTTTTGTCCAGATTTAGTATTGACACTTGTCTTTCAGCTGTCAGCTAGTAATGTCAACTAAAACTAACAAGGTTAGCATCAGTCTCGGACAATCGCCGCAAAACCGTTTGTTTTGGGACGTTTTTACCATTACATACGTAACCAGCAGTTATTCGCTGTTAATTATAAACAGTATAAGTAATTCAACTCCCACTGAATTCACAAGCAACAATATATACCTATGGAAAGTTTGCACCTGCAGTTGCGGTTACATCCTGCGTTCAGAAATGCTACAGATATTTAGAATTTGACAATGCTTTTGCCTGTAAAACCCATATGATTGGGGGATATTAAACAAGTCAAATCAGAAGTCCTAAGTGAAGGAGTTTGAAGATATATTTGCGAAGTTATTGATATATCGAGAAACGTTTGATCTAAACTATGTAGTATGAAGTCATAGCACGAAGTTTATACGCGTAGTATGTTGCAGATGCGTGACCGAGAAACTTCAGGTAGGATGTGTCCAGTAAGTCTACCGTGATCGGCATTAATGAAGACTTATGGAAATGTTTATTCTGGCGAATTATTTGCTGCTACACACCCAAAACACATGTGATATAGTTCTAAGTGTTATTCAGTGCTTACAATACAAATAATTCAAAGGGATTGAAAGGGCCGTCAGAAGCATTTTTGCTCCATGTTGTACTTTAAGACACAAACTACATAAATTTCACAAATTCGGTGAATAAATGGAACATTTTTAAATATGAAACACTACCTAATTCGAAACCCTACACTACCAGCCTTTGGTTGTAACGACTATATTATCTTTATTTTACCCATTTATTAGAGCTCATCGCTTCCAACCACCTACCTCACTGGACAGAAGTGCATTCTACAGGCTTACTAAGTTACGATTCACTTTTTCTCATCTACATTCTAACATATGTCACTTTGTACACTTCCATAGAATACAACGTACCTTAGAGCTAGACACAGACATTCAAAAGTCAAGTCAAACTTGTAGAGAGATGTGGATTACGAATACTTGACCTTGAAGGTCAAGGCGCCATTATTAGGTTCACAGAATGACTAGGGGTTCTCCTCATCGATCGCACAAAAAACATCGTCACAAGAATCGTGATAGGTCTCGTTCTCCCTTGGACCAGATTACTGATAGGATTGCTACCAGGAGAGATGATCAATCACCTAGTGATAGTAAGTAAACTTGTATAACCTATTACAACTTATGCTTAGCTGGAGGCACTGGTGTTGATATTTCTCTCTCAGTTGCGGAAACAAAGTAAATATAGGGTAAAATAATATACTTTTTTAGTGCCTTGCGGGCTAAATTGGGTCTTGCTCCTCTGGATGCTGATGATACTTCAAAACCAGAACGAGCAGTAGATAATCAAGCCGATTGCTACGTCCATGCACCAGCTAAAGATATCAGAAAAATAAGGGAATCAGAAGCAATCAAAGAAAAGCTAAATGTCTTGAAAGAGAAAAGGTCATTGTTAGATAAAATTGGGCAGGAAAAACTATCCACGCCTTCTGCATGTGAATCGGATGTTCAATCATGGGTTGAGAAAATGCGTGAGAAAGAACGAATTCAGAAACAAGCCGAAGAAAGAGTAAGTTCTATGCAGGCTTTGCTCATATTGATTGCTTTTCTAGGCAAAGCTTTTGTCTGAGATTGACGATCAGTTGGCTGTTTCTGAGTTTGTAGAGTCACGGTTGATTCAAAATGGTAAAAAGTACAAACCCAATGATTTGGCCGGTCTTCGCGTTGAACACAGCTCATCCCGTTTTGTTGACGGTCAATCAGTTATCTTGACTATTAAAGACTCAGGTTTGCTTGGAAATGTTTTAGTTCCTAAAGTCTTTTACATGTAAATGTTTTTGGCTCACATGTATTTACTTGTATTATTTCGATTGGAGTTCAGATATCCGATGTATATATTAAGTCATTGTGATATTTAGTTGTCGGCTTGTCATTACTGCTTGTCGCATTTTGTCTTTTTACGGTTTAAATCTGTATAATAACTTGTGAATCGGTCACTGTAGTAGTTTTCGTTTAACATGTTCACTATCTTGGTTTAAGCTTGTTGCAGACTTCAGTTTAAGGATTAGTCTGTTTTTAGCCTATGAATATAGTCCTCACCTTGAGTGATTTGTTTTGTAATGCCCTTGAATTACAGCCATGAAATTGCAAATTCAAAACCCATTCCATCTGTTTCGGTCCTAACAGTTTAGTGATGTCACTTTCTTTCACTCGAAGTGTAGCTCAAGCATAATTGTGTACTTATTGAGCAATCTACAAATACTCATTTGGAGATCTGCTATCTGGAAATGTTCCAATACTAATATTTTCAGCAGATTACTAAAAAATCAAACATTTTCAGTGAGACTATAATTTATGGACGACCTTTGAGTGACGCTGAGAAGACCTTGAAAATGTCCGCTTACATACTACGGCTGAATGAGGGCTATGAACTAGTGTAAGGAATTAAGATTAATATTTATGTTTAATAGTTGGGGTTAGGCTTTAGATTTGGGGTTTTTATTGTGAACTGACATCAGATATAATGCCAAAACTATTTAGCCAAATGAGTGAATTTCGCACCGAAATCCAAGACATGTCATCGTAAATCCGATTGGTTTGTCCATAAATTATAGTTTCTCCACATTTTCACTGAGCTTGTTAGACAACTCGTGCTTTCAGTCCATCAAGTGTTACTAGTAGTACCACCCTGAAAAATAGCTCGCTTGTTTCCCTTCATGTCTTATGTTAACCGCTTATCCAGGCTTGTAAGATTTGGACCCCATGTAAAATAACTGAACGAAACTCGCCATTTCAAACTAACCTAGAGTGTAATTTATTTTATTTCTGAAGTACATATACAAGATAGATGCAGTCATTTTGACTTGGTCTATGTAATACATCCGTATTAGCGATTTCTTGTTCATCAGTAGTTTCAGCTTAAAAACGGGAGGGGGATTCTGGCTTTTTCGTTTAGCTTCATCATAGACCTACTAGTGAAAATAACGCTCTCGTCGACTGAATTTTCGGGCATTGATCTCCTACCAGGAAGTCCACTTATCGACTAGGCAGATGATATAGTCCTGTTTGATGAAGACGCTGATAAAGTGCAGTGTTTTGGTAGCACTGAGCAACAATCCCTGAATTTTCGGGATGCGTTTCTCCCTTTCTAAATGCAAGTTGTTGCTACAGGACTGGCCTGTGTCAACGCCTGAACTAAGGATAGAAAATGAATTAGTCGGACACGTTAACAACTTCATTTATCTTGGAAGTTTGATCAGCCCTAATAGGTTGGTGTCTGACGAAATCTCAGCACGGGTTCGAAAAGCTCGTTTGGCTTTTGCCAACTTGCGTCACCTATGGGCGAAGGCGAGATATCCGTCTATCAATAAAAGGACGAGTATACTGCACGGCAGTTCGTTCTGTTCTACTTTACGGCTGCGAAACGTGGCCATTGAGAGTATAAGATACTCGTAAGCTACTAGTATTTAACCACACATGCCTTAGAAGTACTGCTCGCATCTGCTGGGATTACCGGGTAAGTAATAGTGAGATTAGACGCAGAGTATTAGAGAACGATGGTAAATCAGTTGTTGAGATTGTTAATCTTCATAGATTGAGATGGTTGGGTCACGTGTTACGTATGCCTGAACACCGATTACCACGACGCGTAATGGTGACTGGTGTTGGACACATCTGGAAGAAAGTTAGGGGCGGCCAAACTCAAACGTGGCATCAGTGCTTGAAGTCACTAACTTGTAGTGTGAGCCATGTTGGTAGATGCAGACTACTTGGTTGGGGTTCGCGTGACTATCGTAACCAATGGTTGGAGACTTGGTGACATGGCTCAGAATCGATCATAATGGTGTAGGTGTATATACTCTCTGTGTTCCCTTAAACTATGAGATTAAAATCGCTTCATATCTTTCTTTCTATACCATACCGTTATATGCAGTCTTTCTTTAATGTATTACAAGCATTGAATTAACTACTTCTATGAATCCGGTGTTCACCTTGCTGTGCTAATGAGGCGTAACAACTTGGATCGATGCATATATGTGCCTGGTCCTACGTTGTAGATGACTGACTTATGTACTTCACCAGACAGTTCCTTACGAATGCGGTATATTCATTCGAGCGTATAAACGATGTTAGAATTACTAACAGTCGAACTAAGATTTCAGGAAGCTATCGATTCTTTAAAGTAATGTGAGTGTTGATTGACACAAAAATTTTCATATGATCTTACCAAAATAGAAACAACTTAAATATATAACGATGGATATTAATTTATGGTGAGCGTTGGTTTGCAGAGAAGAAATGATTTATTGACATCCCTAACTTTATTTCAGTCTAATAAGTATCGTGTATTACTGTAAGTGATGACTTATCATGCCTAACACATGACTAAACTATCCCAGTCACTATATACCTATAACACCGTTAACTAGTTCGCCTCATCTAGAACATATTGTATAGCTTCTCGACTGCTCTCTCAGTGGTTCCGGTACATGATTCAAAGACACTATCGACCGAATCTTGGATGATCTTGAAGAGCTATTTGAATATGTAGTTTGATACACCACCTGTGGTAAATATATTTTACGAAAACTTGTGTTCCACATTGTTTTATTGCTGATATACTTTTTATTGCAATTTTTTCAGTCTTAACTCCAGATAAGTTGTGATTCAGATTAGTGTTGCAAATGGCTTCTGCCTATTTTATTTACCATTCTGGAGTTCCATAATAGGTTACTTTGTATCGATCAATGTAAATATTTCTCAAATACTTAAAATCTATGCTATATTACGGGTGTAGAATAATTTACTGACTTCTATCGTGTTTTTCTTGGAGAATGAGTACCATGTAAAAAATACTCATTATAAACCACCACAACTTGACTTCATTGTATTGGTGAACTGGAGGTTCTGAATTTATTTCTACTGAGAGTAATTCGAAATCTGTTTCAATCCCCATAAATGTTAACCTCGCTGTGTCATTATTTTAATCAACATTGTAGCGATCATAGGTTCAATATTTGTAATTTTCGCCTTTTAATTTAGGTGTTTTGGATGAATCTGAAGACGTTTTAGTGAATGTAAATATAATTGATGATGAAAAAGCTGACGTCAATAGAGAAAACATAAGAAAGACTACCGGTCTGGCAGGAATTGAAGACGAAGTGGATGAGGATGTACTTCTTGGTTTACGCTCTAAAGCTGTTCTAAGCAAGTATGATTCAGAGATTAATGGCATTAAAAAAGACCACTTTGTTATTAATTCTGATGGCTCTTATAATACAGAGAATGAGCGTTTATTGAAACAACTACAAGCTGAACTGAAAGAAGGACGAGTAAGTATATATTCAAGATTCATGTACATACTAATAAATGTTTCTCATGTTTAACATATTGCCGTGTTTGTTTGGATGCATCACCAACTTAAATGTTTCATTGTTTGTTAATAGATCATTTTAATCCCATTTCAGCAATCGTTGCCTGATACTGAGCTTCGTATAGCTTCTGAGTACTACAGTACGGAAGAAATGGCTGCAAAATTTAAAAAGCGTAAACGTCGTATCAAAACTATTCGTCAAGCACTGACTGCTGATGAACTTTTGAGTGAATTGCCAGAACAATCAGGGTCTTCTGATTTAGGAAGCCGTTCAACAGTTAGAGAAAAACGCTTAAATAGTAACATCCCATCTGCAAATGACACGTTTCCGGCTGAAGAATTTTCTGCACAAATAATAGATGTCAAAGGTATTATATGTTCTGCTGTTTTGTTACCTTAATAGTTTAATAAGTACATTTAAATAACATTTCATACTAAATGTTACTTTTCAACTTATGAATTTTAGTATCGTTATGATTTTGAATCGATTTAACTAACTGAAAAACCTATAGGCTATACTTTGTAACATAAATAGTCAAAATACAAACATTTATAGCATTCAATAGCCTGTAATGTCATACAAATTAGACTAAAAATCAAAACGACTATTACCATGCAACTGTAACTGCGAAACCAACACTTTTATTTCACAACTATGTACTGAAGATATTTCTACACTTAAAATTGTATCATTACCTTAAATTGAAACAACTTTTATAGCAGAGTATTATTTGACAATTCCAAATCCTAACACATCATTCATTTAGTAGACTTTTGGGCAAGTGATTCTACAGTGATAAAAATCTAAGTCTCCACCTATAGAAGGGCTAAGCTGATAGCTATTTATGTAAAAAGTTGTTATTGTTACTAGCTCCAACCTTTTTATCTTCTTTGTCAGCAAATGCGTGACGGATTCGGTTTTCGATTAGTCGAAACAGTTGAGTTATACGAAGTTTGATTACACATGTGTGAAAAGTAATATAACCCAGTGGTATGACAATGATGCGTGTTATAAATACTAACAGCTTCTCTTTTAGACAAAAGAACTAAAATTGTAGAATAATAACGGTTGTGAGGGAAAATCCCAAATCATACACTAATATGTCGTTTACACACACATATAATGGATGAAAGAAACGACTCCAAAAAAGCACTGAGAAAAAAACCGAAACCCGTGTAAGTAACTTAAAAGTTTGAAAAAGCTTATTATTTTCAAATAATTTTTATCGTTTTGGAAGTGGATGAGTTAGCTATTTGTCAACTTGCAAACTCATGTTGGTACTACACAAGCGAAATTATATGTGTATAATTACTTTCTGATGCTAGGTTTCAATTTGTCACAATATAAACTACAGAACACTTGTTGATCGCTTTAAAATAATCGGTTATTTCAAATGTATGTTTCGCAATTTCTTTTTCTCCTATACTCAGATAGTTACGAAGAATATTGGTCTGCAGCAGATCATATCGATGAACCAGATGAGTTGAGAAGTGAATTAGAGAAAACTATAGGGCGAGTCGTGCAATCGAAGTCACGGGTTGTTTCTAAACCGGAAGAAGTACGTCAATTTTTTTATGACAGCATTTTCGTGAAATGTAGAGATTATATAATATTAAAATGAATAAATGGGACTTAAGAAATTAGGCTAAATACAAGCTAATAGTGTCCAAACTTATGCCAAGTATATTGACTTTTCAAGTGTTTCTGAATTACATTACGGTTAAAAATCAGTGTGATCATGGTTAAACACGATTGATATGACCCATTGTTAAGCTATGACAGCACTTGAATAATTTCTGTCTATTTAAAAACCATTTTTTAACTATTACTTCATATAAACTAAGATAAGATTGATTCTCTTCTCACTATACTTTTTGCATTTAAAAGATTACATCACAACTCTTAGCAAAAAATATAGCTACTCATTCATCCGAATCCGTGTCACAGTCACTTGCGTCTGATACATTGACAAATAATAGCAAAAAAGACAAAATTGTGTTCGACTCTACTGCAGAATTTTATAAGTCAAGTGGTATTGGTTTTCAAGAAAGTATGAAAAGAAATCCTCGTTACAATCATTTCTTCACAAATCAGTCTAGATTACAGAATAATGGCGGACCAGTTGGTACTAATGATGATGATTTTTTGAGAACATCACCTACAAGAATGCCGTAAAAAGAGGAAGAAGAAGAAGAAGAACGAAAACTTGATTATGATTCAGAAGGTAGTTATCGCATGAAAAGTGAAGAATATGATACAAAGTATGACGATACAAAGTAGGAAGCATCAAGTAAGATTCTATTTTCGACTTCATCTATGAATCGTTGTCTTTTAAAAATATTTAAAAAATTTACGTATCAGCCATTGGAAAGAAAGTGTGATCATCAAATAAAACAATAGAGGGTAGATTGCAGTTTTTTTCTTTTGGAGATAACGCTACCGTCATCTTGCTTTTCAGGAAACAATCTTATGTCAAGAGATTCACTTGTTAACTTAATATACCCCGATAACGTAGTTCTATTTGGTGAAGATATCGACAAAATAGTTTGTGATAGCCTTGGGTGATGTTTGAGATGCGATTTCCTTTCTCTAAATTCAAAATGGTGCCTCAGGACTGATCTGCGTCAACCCTGGGCTAATGATAGCGAGTGAAGTAGTTGAGTGCATCAACCACTTCACTTGTCTTGGGAGTCTGATCAACCCTAGTGAGTTGGTATCTGATGAAACGTATGGACGCAGAAAACTCGTATGATTTTTGCCAACTTGTGCCACTTGTGGTTTAGGTTAGGTATCAGTCTACCAGCTTCATTAGTTCACTCTCTTCTACCTTATAGTAATGAAATGTGGCCTTTAAAAATACGGGATATTCGTAGTTCACTAGTATTCGATGATAAATGCCTTCGAATCATTGCTGATGTATGTTGAGACCACTGACTGCGCGATGTTGAGTTAAGGCAGGGTACTAGGTAAGGGTCGCGTATCGTTTGACGAGGCACTACATGTCCATTGATTACAGTAATTAGAATACATATATTACCTATACCCTGCACCATCTACCTCGGTGCGCGATATTATTTGATATAGGAGTAGGCTGTGATAACTTGAACTGATACACATATGTGCCAGGTTCCAAGTTTTAAATTACTGATTGACAGTTTATTTCTCTCTGTGGTGTTGCTTCTATGTTGTCGTTTAGCATTTTTTCTTAAGTAGCGCTCATTAAAGTCAACTATGTGTATATATAGAGACGGGAATAGCAAATTTATTTCTTTTATTTCTAGACGATCGATGGCAGACTGTCGGTAATGATATTCTTGGGAATTCAACTCGAACAGTACCGAGACCAACAGTCAAAAAATCTGGGCAGGAACATTTTAAAGCAGAAAATACTGATATACATGGAGTTTTAGATGATGAACCACGTCTGGATTCAGGAGTATTTTCAGCCATTCGGTTGGCTGAGAAAAAAGGTTATATTGATAAAGAAAAAGAGAAACGAGTGAGTTAACTTCTTACACTTTAATCGATGCGAATTCCTCTTCAGTTTTTAATCATAATATTATATTCGCAACAGTGCTCAACTCTATTTGTTGTTTAAGCTAACCATTTTTATTATCTGTACTCATTCTTTTCTCTTTGTTTTTCTAGACTGGTTCAGGAACTATGGTCAATCTAATGGCTAAACACTTTGTCCAAGAAGATATACGCTATGATGATATTGATGCGAAATTTTACAAACGTGATCGTTACTCTGGTCCATTATCAGATTTTAAAGAGTTAACGCAATATAAACCGGATATTAAATTAGAATACGTTGATGAACTAGGACGCGATTTAAGTGCTAAAGAAGCTTTTCGTCAATTAAGTCATAAATTTCATGGAAAGGGTTCCGGTAAGAATAAAACACAAAATCGTATGAAAAAAATCAATGAAGAGTTTGTAAGTTTATGGATTAATTATTAATTTAAACTAACATGTTTACCAATTACAGGTTTTTTACTATTCGATTTAAAGCGATGTTTTTTTACATCATGACCGTTAATACTATTTGACTCACCAAATTGAGCTAAACAGATTTGTATCTGTTGCTTGCAAGGCTAGTAATTTTACAATTAATTGATTGTAAATATCATTTATAGGACCAATAAGTCAGAACGAGTAGAACATTTTGTGATTATTCATCGATATTCGTGTATATATATGTGCGCTGGGATTGTCCTCATATTTTCACGCCTAAGTAAGTGGTTTCCTCAGTGGATCATTCCCTGAACCTATGAATTAAAGATCTAATTTAGAAGGTATTTGATCGAAATGTCAATAATTCACTGCTTCACTTTTTGTTATAAACTTACAATCGTATGTTAAAATAATCCAACCCACTTTCAGTTTTATTCTAAATAGAAGTTCGTAATATTGTTCGTAACTTTATATAAAATTAGTGGTACTCGATTACGCTTGTATTCCTATCACTAAATATACATGGTTTAACCGCGGCGTTGGTGTGACCTATTAGATACTAGGTAGAGATAGTAAATTGGGTAATAATATTATGGACTTTCGTCCACTGATTTGGTTTCGAACGTGTTTTTTACACTAAATGCATGATAATACGTTGGTTGAAGACTAGGTGTGGCAAAAAAAACATGGTATCAGCATTTTAAGTTATGGACTCTTGGATGTGTGGCATTCAGTTGAGTCATTTTCTCTTCATCTTGTTAATTTCATGTCTGACTGTGCTGATGTAAGACATGGCAATTTTGTCGAGGTATATTTATTTCAGGTTCCTATTTGTTTATAACTGGTTAAATATCTAACTGGCAGTTGTGAGTGAATTTCACAGCAACATATTCTTCGGAACTAAGCACACTACTTAAAATACAAAGACCTAAGAAATTTTAAGAAAAATAGTTTTTTATCTATCGTCATGTTCTATAATGTTGGTAGATAAAAGCGGTAGTGAGACTAAATGATAAACTTATTTTCGTACAAAATTTCACGATTAAAAAATGTGTGTGTTATGTGTTTGAACACTAAAGTGCATAAGATGTTGACGGTTGATGTTCAACGGAATTATATAAAGAAGAAATAAGTATTTCAGTTTATCCAACTGCTATTTTGTTTTTAGTATTTCAACTTTCGTCGTTAAGTTGTACTTGCTGACGAATCTATTTCCAGATTCAAATTTTAGTAAAAGTCCCTTATGCATTGCTCCTCACCAAAAATTGAAAATTTACGTCATTTAAATTTGCAAGTTGGTTAAGTGAAATTTTATAAAGCGAACCAAATATTAAAATAGTTGAGATATAATGATATTTTACGACATACGTGTTTCTCATTACAGAACTACATTAAAGATACCCAACGATCCCTGGAGATTAAGAAAGAGATTTACAGGAGACTTTTTAATGTTTCTAGAAAAGGTCATTATACAAACAGTTTTACTGGTTTTATACTGTTTATATGACCTTGGAATATAGATACGAGATTAGTTGTTAAAAATAAAGCTTGTTCTCAAATAATCAAACGATAAAAAATTCTGAAACGAGTTGGATTAGTGATTTTCCGAACACTAAAAGATTTTATATGAGGGGGGTAATTCGTCGACTAGCAACAAATTAATCATAGCATCGCTCTCAACTTTGTAGTAGTCTTAGATTTCAATAGACCTCCATAACATATTGTTAATTGTTATAGTAAAGGTGTAGTTTATCCGTTTCACTTATTATATAAAATAGTCAAAAATGTTTAAGTTTCTTACCGTTTTATGCTAAAAACCGTAAAAAATCTTGGGAAACATGCCAACCTCAGTAAAGATTGTGAATGATTAATGGTGTCGCGTGTGCGTATGATCAAGTTAGTGAGTGATTGGTTGAGTGGGTTGGTGGTTGAGTTGTAATTTTGCGAATTGGAGTGATGAAGAATGTGCAGTTTGATATGGATGTAGAGTGAATGTGTGGAATTTGTGTCTGGTTATTGATCATTGGGAGTTGAGCGATTGTGAGTGATTGTGAAGTGAAGTGGGTGAGTGAGTTAGCTGTGAGGTTAGGTGGGGTGATGTGAGGTGAGTGATACACATGAGATGTAAATTTGGGAAAAATGCCATCCGAAAGTAGCGGATGTTTCGTGCCTCAGGAGAGTGGGCATCACGTGCCCTGTCCGACCTTGTGCAGGGGACTGCCAACCATCTCTCCCTCCACCACCGTAAAAAATCACTAGCTATTAAGGACAGGAGTTTTGTAAATATTATAACTAGCGAAGTGTCTGCTTTTCCGCAAAGTTTACCTCTTTGGAGAAAAGTTGTTCAAAACAGGGATGTTTACAAAGATAATTTCAAATTCAACAACCATTCTGTGGTGACTAGGGACTAAATTCAAGAGATAATTCTTAGGGTTCTATTAAAAAGCATTGAGCTTTGGATTTCAACCATGTCGGTCGTCAGTCAAATATTACTAATGGCAATGGATAATGGGTCATGCAATACTTGCATATAATTGGATGCCAGCTCAGTTTTCTGAAGTTTGGACGCTTGTCAAGAGGCTTGGAGGCTTTTAGTTCGATCCTTGGTGTAGTTACATAGTAGGACGAAATAGATGTTCAGTGCTTCCTGGTTTCAGTGGGCATCTAAGTAAATTTAGCCTGTAATGTAAAACTTCAAATATTAGATTTTATTTCATCTTACTGTTTAAAATGTTGAAGTTTTTTTAATTCTTCTGAGTCATTATAAAGTTATATATTTTGTTAGATCTCTCTGTGCCACAGCTTAAGAGGAACTTTAGTATCGAATTGATTGATTTTTTAATTCAAGTTCGTATTTTCCTCAATGTCATTTCAAGTATATGTACTTAGTATTTGTTTTACGAAGTAACATCTCGTCTCTCAATTTGTTTTCACTATTTTAACTTTTGAAAATAATAAAATATTCTTTTTTTTCTATTATGGATTTAGCTTCTTAAAGCCAGCACCAGTTCAGATACTCCACTGGGAACAGTTAACAAACTGAATAAAAAAACTAGAAGCAATGTCAATGCCTTATGTAATTTTGAGTGGAAAAAATGCAGCTGTGTAAGTTAATTCATGTTAGGATACGTGTTTTCGTTGCATTTTTAGTGAGATCTTAATTTTTATTTCAGTCACCGCCAAGTTTTCCCTTAATCTTTCATGAAGATTCATTTTTGGTTTGATTAATTACTTTAATGATGGTGGTATAGTGAACGAGAACACAAGCGGGGACAAACCAAATGTATTTGAACACAAAATTACAGAGCGTCTTAGTAAAATCTTAGAACCACATAGTAAATACTTGATTCGCAAAATGTCAATCAATCGGCTCAGACTTCACTGTTCTTTCATTTCCACAGCAATCATTCTCTGTTCTCGTTCTCGTTTCTTAGATCTTATTAACCATCTGCTGCCAGGCATTGCACTTTCGACTGATGATACATACTACTTATATCTGTCGACATCAGTAGCACACACCACAATGGGACTGTCTCGTCCGAGCTAAATGTGAAAACAACCCTGACCTACTTACTGCGTATATTTGGCGACTTCAAAATATCATGTATGTAAATACAATATAACGAAAATATATATATGAGCTGTTTTCACGTAGCAGAACAGATAAATAAACAATGAAACTACAAGTCGTCAATTGAGTGACCAGTTGTTTTTCACTTTCTCCAACTGTAACCAAACCTTATATTTTGAAAGAAAGATACCTCATTAAGAAGCCAAAAAAGTGATTACAACAATTGCAAGAACAACAGAGGCATCACAATACTATCAGTACTAAGAAAAGTTTCAAACAGAATGGTGTTGAGCTGGATGAAAGATTCAATAGATACCCAACTTCGAGATCAACAGGCTGGTTTCCGTAAGGATCGATCGTGCACGGACCAAATCGCGACACTACGTATTTTTCTTAAGCAGTCAATTGAGTGGAACTCGTCACCATACATCAACTTCCTTGACTACGAGAAATTATTTGACAACGTGGATAGGAGAACCTTATAGATCCTCCTTCAGCATTATGGTGCACTGAAAAAGGTGGAAACTTTCACGTGCCTGGGCAGTATCATTGATAAACAAGAGGGTTCTAAAGTAGATGTGAAGACACAGATTGACAAAGCGATGGCAGTACGTCTACAAGTGAATAACATATAGAACTCAAGACAACTGTCAGACAACATCATAGTCAGAATTTTAAACACTAACGTTTAAACAGCTCTATTGTACGGAGTTGAGACCTCAAGCATTACGACAACTACTATCAAACAGCTGTCTACGCAAGATAATCCAGGTCGATTAATCGTATGCCATCAGAAACAACGTACTATGGGAGAGAACAAACCAACTTGCCGCTGAAGAGGGCATTAGGAAAAGACGCTGCATATGGATAGGACACATTACGGAAACCATCAAACTGCATCACTAGACAAGACCTAACTTGGAATCCACCAGTCGAAAGAAAAAGAGGCAGACTAAACGATAAATGGGGATGGGAATTGAAGCAAGACATTAAAAAAGAAGAACAGCACTTGACAACAGTTGGAAGAAGAGCTTAGGACAAAATTGGTTAGTGAATCCTGATGGGTGTCCTATGCTTCTCCAGTATTACATATAAAGTAATAAGACTATCAATAAACAATTAATGGTTAGGAGAGACCAAAGAAAAAGTAACGACTTCAATGTTCGTCGATGGTGTTGTGATTACATCAGTCAGTAAACTTAAACATGGGAGTTGTGTGGTCAAGTAATAGTTACTCATAAGTAATGTTTTTTTTGAAAAAACAATTTGGCAAATTTCTTATTGATCAGTTGTGAATTCAGCAGATACAATTTTATTTATCTATACACTTTAGTAGGATATCATACGTAGTCACGTTTGTAAACTGCTTGGAAAGTGATTAAATTTTTAAACCTACATTTATATTTTGTTATCATTATGTGACTACGTATCTACTCTCATACACCATGTTTAATTGATGTACTGTTTGAAATGTAATCATTAAATTTCTTTAACTTAATAAGGCATCACTTTCGGTCCAATTGAAACAGTTACACATTAGCTCTTATCATTATTTGTCACGGTTTGTATCTTTCTGTTTTTGATGTTAAGGTTTGCAATTGATCAATCTCTATTAGTCTATTCAGACCTTGAATAAATTACCTCAATATTATCATATAGTCACAAGTTTTTTTGTTAATTGCAAATTACCAAGTAGCATGAATCCTAGGTCCATGGTTTCCTATTGATTGCTTCTACTTCTGTCATTCAGCATGAGTTATACTTGACTAAGTTGTTAGTAGCTCTTAAGTCGTAATCTATGTTCAAAGTCTCCATTTCAACCAACTAATACCAACTGAATATTTAAATTTTCAAACGAGTAAATATCCGTTTGGTAAATTTTGTCATACAGTTTCTGCTCCACCTGTTTATATGATAATAATCTAGTTTGGATAATTCGACTTTTTTGTAAATAATCGAGTTTAGATTCATGAATAGTGCATCTCAGATTAGGAGTACAAAGCATCCATTTAAATCATATGAACATTTAATTCATTTTTGCAACTTGTTTTCAACTACTTATATCACTCAGTAGTATATTTTTATATTCAAAGTGAATTGTGTTTATTTTATTATAGAAAGAAGCTGACGAAATAGTTAACAGCAATAGTAAACAACAATTTGGATGTCATATTCCATAGTTGATATCACTTTTGTTACCTGGCATCGATACACTTGTTCATTTTTAATGCGAATCCCCCACTAACCATTATTTCCCACTTTTTTTCTGGATTGTAATTTCTTGTGTACATGCATAATCAATTTTTAAATAAAAACTCTGACCTTATTTGTTTTATTAATCTGCCTTTAATATTGTTGCAATATTGGTAAATTGTCTTGATTGTTCACGTGTAACATTAATGAAATACATATGTCGAGATGAATTTTTCTTTATTCGTCGTTTGTGACATACGTTAACGTTTTTGTCGTGAATGAATAATTAGGTTTACAAACACTGAATTGAAAAAGCTCAGACCTCGTCGATAATGTTTTGGTCATATATTCTAATAATTCTTCCCTTAGTATAGTTATATAAATATCCAAAAGTTTGTTTCCCGTGGAGTAGAAAACCTACTTATTTAAAAGATCTGTCCATTTCTCTATTTTTGCTGGAAATTCCATTGAGTATGTTCTTAGAGGTAACTATTTATTCGTCTGGATACGCAGGGGTTGATCATATTATGTATGAAAACTTCAACTACTTTGTGTTAAGTTGTATTTTGTTTGAGGCGTTTCCTTTAGGTATTTGAGACATTTACGAAACTTCAGTGGCAACAAAAACCTTTTTGATATAATGACGAGCAAAAATTTAAAATATATTTTGGAGGTTTTCTATCTCTCATGACATACCAGGTCGTCTAAGTGACATTTTCATCATAGGATTTCAACCGTTTGATACCGAGGGATTCCTGAGAATATGGTAAGATAACATGTTTGTTACTAAATTAAGGAGTTTGTTTTAGTCACTTTAATGCCATTATCTAATCCTATTGTTGATGAGTACAGAAATATCTGGTTGCTTGTATTGTCCGATACTATATATGATCAGTTCATACTTTATCTTGAGATCGTATGACAGCAATTTCTCTCAGTGATTGTCTGTGTAGTCAGTTTTACTAATTTTGGAAATATCGGCTCTGGTGTATCATCTTGTTTATTGTTTTCGAATTACATATTTTATTTAGTTATCGGTTAGGCAAAATTCATCCCTCTAACAATAGTAATCAACTTTTGGAAACGGTATTTGTAGAGTGAATGGTTTAAAAGCAGAACAATAACATGATTGAAATTTTTACTGTTAGGAATGAATGATGCTCAACGAAAATGCATAATTTAGGAATGAAGTTTTGTAACTGATTGATCACTGGGTGATGGTCAGTGTCATGTGTGTCAGGTCCTTCTTAGTGCAGATCGAATGCTATCGACCAAGTTGCAATGTGGCCACTAGTCTAGATGACTCGACTTTGAAGTTTCGTTCATTTTGGCAAAATACGGGATTAATTCATATTTCCTTGAGTAATCTAAATATTTATAACACAAAATTTAGTGAGAATTTGATTTTAAAAAGTATATTTTTATTGTTTTTCAATAATAGTTTATTTACTCCTGTAGGCTAGCGCGTAAACAGTACAAGAGTGTATGGAAACATATTTGTTAATCAAGCATACCTTCTTCAATAAAGTTTGAGCTTGTATAGATTCAGTCCTCAGAGTGAAAGCATTTTGATTCAAGGATAATGTTTATAACACGTTTTCTTGCTAGATTCTGAAAACAAGAAAATGAATTGTTATGATTAGTAGTTTCGAATGCAAATGTATCTAAATCATATTATCTTACTTGTGATTCAAATATTTTGACTTGTAACCGATTTTATGAGAAAAGGTTTTTCAGAGTTCGACAGGAAAATCATTTTGTTACTATTTCTTTGTAGGTAAGCCTAAACAGTTTGAAAAATCTAGAATTATGTATTGGTTGTGCATGCCATTACCTCTCAACACGTCGCTGCATGTGTTAACACTAATAAATAGATCAACCAAGTTAGAATTATAATACGAAAACATTCTTAAGTCACTAGTCATTGACCTAGTTTCAGAACAGCTTTTAGGATTTTGTTTAGATGACGTAACCGTTGGGACTAATCATAAGAATATTGCGATATATTTTACTAATAGTAAAGAATGGTGCTATCTTAATATTATCAATTGCCTGAATCCGGAAGTGCAGACTGTCGGGAACATATAATTAATGAACTTGCCGCTATATTAAAAAGTCTACATTTGATTCTTTGCATGGTCTTGAGTGTATATACAATCATTATCATACTATTTTCGTACCTCTTCCAAGTAAAATACAAAAAAATGGAAGAAGTTCTGTTTTAATTGAGACCATGAATTGACTAATGTTAAACCACAAATGAAGACCTGGAAATCCGTTTGTCCTGGTCTGGGACTCTTCAGCACTTTGCATGCCCGATCCCGTACGCGTGATCTGCGGTATTGCGTGCGAACGCTTAACCTCTAGACCACTGAGCTGACATTCAACGGTGTTAATGTCTAACTTGATATTACACGACCATCCTCTATTGTTTCCAGTGAGTATCTGTTTCACACCAGACACGTTGAACTGTACTGGTCACGGCTCATCACTAGAACTCTAGGAAATCCATCTTTAACCTAGACACTAGTGAGGACATGATAATTATCAGTATAGGTCTGTGGTGATCGTTGAGTTTTGGTTGAGATCATGAGAGGTCGCGCATATCGTGGATTGGTAATATTATTAGGATTAATTTCTTATGTAAATGGGATAGTTAAAATAACGCATTGTGTCACTGGGTAGAAAAGAGAATTCAGAAAAGAAACTTCCTTTTTCATTTACTTAAACTGATTCAAGACTTATTATCAAATGAGGTTACACAATCATCAACGGGTAAAAGAAGAATATAAGGATGGAAATTATTTTACTGGTCAAAATTACGAAAAATGATTGTCCACTTGACAGTTATGAAGAAAAACGACAAACATAAGTATCGTAATAATAAAAGCTGAATAACAATCATGAAAAACTGTTTAAAGGTAATAATAACTGATTACGAAACATTTATTTAAAAAAACCAAAATGTACTACTGAAGGAAATTAAGGCCAAGGAAGGATGAGAGATTAGACGTATGAAGTTTGCACGCAGAGTTCAGACTTGAATTGGTGGATTGTCAATGCCTCACTAGTACATAAGTTTTTTATTCGACCTCTATTCTGTCTAACTCCTTTGGTTGTGTAGATCAGGTTGAAGGAACAGGATTAAAATGTACATATATACATAGAGAAATGAATGTATCGTCATATCAATTAAGCGACTAACATTAAAGCTAGCAGGATGAATATGTGCGTAAGCGGTAAGCAATACTCAAGCATACATGTTCATACGAGCGAAACAATAATAAAAGTACAGTGGTATAGATTATTGTGACATATACATTCAGTGATTTTTGTAAGGACAAAGTGAAAACCGTTTTTTTCTTATTTGTCACACTTTATATGTAACCACATTTATATTCAATATCTATCGTTTCTTTGTATCAATGGTAAAGAAACGGATAAAACTGTTTGATTATTTACATTATATATGTATATATACTACCGCGGTTGTTGAAAATATAAAACGCTATCCGCTGTCTGTTCTTCTGCTTTATTGGCCACAGCTTTTGATTGAACATTATCAGTCTTATAACATCCTTTTAGGCCTTCCCACACTACGTTGGACTCCAGTTATCAAATGATGGTTGATATAACTAATTATTTCAAAGACAAACCATTATTTTAAACTTGATACTAACAAATTAGATCCTCTAGCATTATTTTCCACGGGATGTCATTACTAACTACATGCCTAACCCTCTTTTATCCGGGTTTGGGAGGACTACGGGCAGAACCCTGCTCTGGGGACGAACAAACCAACTTCCGGTTGATAAGGAAATTTGGAAAAGACACTGGATGTGGATAGCTCAAATATTACGGAAATCATTGGGCTGCGTTACAAAGCGTTAACTCAGGATCCTTAAGGCAAAAGAAAAAGCATCTTAAAGAACATATTGCATTGGGAATCGGAAGCAGACATCAAGATAATAAATAGCACTTATTAAAACCTGGGAGGGAGGTCCCTGGTCGATGGCTCACGAGTGGCAACAGTGTAGGTGAGTAACGCTTATTTCCTTTATCAATAAACTTCATTAGTATACATTGTCTAATTAAAAAAGTAAACTAATCACGAAAAGCATAATTAGGCTGAGTAATTTTATTTACACCAATGTTGTTTAGTATTCTTGAAATAACAAACTAACCGCAAAAATAAAGATGAACAGCCGTTATATCATTGAGGATAGTTAAGTATCACTACCCTAAAACAACATAAAATATGCAAAACCTGATAGTTGTAAAATGTTAAAATTCGATAATGGTGTCACAAGAAAATATATTAGCATCCAAACCGTAAGATATGAACACAAATGTTACTCTGAAATTATCTTACTAGATTAAATGACCATAAATGCCACTAGACCGGACTTTTCTAGATAGATCTATTGGTTGAGAACGATAATGGTTCTAAGTACAAATAGTGAGACTAACTACAATCCAAGAAATCAATGAGGGAACAATCAACATTGCGAAGTCTTATGGTCAGATTATATAAGTCAAACGCCTTAAGTACTGAGCAACCGCTCCAAATTATTTTTCAAAAACCACAACATTTACGCATAATTTTTGTTCAGGAAAGTATATAACAATCGTACGAAAAAATATTACCAAACTACAACTGATATTGATTGGCAAGTCCTACTAAAAAGTTCAACAGAGTGGAATAAAATTCACCAATATTTTATCCTTTGGATGTTAACTACTGGACGTAATAGTTAACACGCACCCACGATAAAATATGATACTGACATACAGTAGGAAAGTATGGCAAGCCTGCTGTTATGATCTCTTATTACGACTCAGTTACTCTTAATGCTTAATATTCTTTGGACAGTTTACTACACTCGACAAGTCCCCAAATCAGAACACAGTTGAACAAGAACGTAATTATACTCCAAATAAAGAAGGTTGAATAGAAGCACGAATTACAATAAAAACGCTAGTATAT